ATTCCAGTATATTGCTTGTGACACCTGAAGATGACTATATGCCAAAACATGTTGTGTTTGTTCATGTGTGATATATAAATACAAGTTGTATTGATGGTTTTACTGTTTTTTCGTAAGTTGTATGGAATTTTACTTTCAAAATAGGTTGAAGGGCTTTCCTTGCCACATTATCTGTCCGTTTTATATTTGATAATGTCAGTTTTGTCTACTTTGCATGTTAGTTTTGCACTTGGATTTATTGTTTTATTTCTTTTTTGTCTAAATACCAGTAGCAAGTATTAAGCATTACAGTTTCTTATTTTTGTTGTTCTTATTATTTTAGGCCATCATAATATTCACAAAGGATCTAGGCCTCATCATGGAGACAAGTACAGTAAATACAATGGTGAGTAAGTGTAAGTGATGTATACACAGTTGCCAGTTTTCTGAACTTTACACATTCTAAAACAAGCTGTGGTCTGCTTGTGCATGTCTAATTTTGTTGTTAAATATAAAATAGAAATCTTAAATATAGATTAATTGTAAAGGGTTTTATCCCACTTTAAAACATATTGAGCAATACATATAGAATGTATGGCGATTTTTTTTAGGAATTATGTTAAATTACTTGTTAGAACCGTAAATTTGTTTGTAACCATAAATAAAATGTTTCTTCAAATACTGGTTAGAGGGGTCATGTAAATTTGTTTTATCTTTGGTCTGAAAATTAGTTAAAAATGTTTATTTCATGTATACATGGTTACTATATTTTGAAATTGTTCCCACAAATACTATGTAACACATACAAAACAGGATATTTCCTTTCAGTATAAAATGTGATCATTATATTTAAAATGTGTTAATATTGCTAGCATTCGTGGAGAGCAGACGTGTTCGCTCTGTGCTCCGCTATAGTAAGATGCAACTGATCCAGTGTTGTATAACATATTAAAAATAATGTTGACAGACAGCTGTCAAAGGATTATTTTTTAAAAAATTTGTAACAAATTTTTTGTTAATAAAACCAGACTTTATGGGAAACAGAAGTTTCTACGTTGTAGTGGGCCTTGCTCTGCAAGATATCATCTATCGTGCCTGCGAGTGAGTGATGCAGAATATTCCTGTTACACTTTAAACGGCGAGTCTACCTATAAGTGCGACACTTGTGATAGGAAGTTACGGTCAGTGAGGTCCGAAAATACTCCTGTTCGCTCTTAGGTCCGTATCGGCTTCTGAAACTGGCGGAAAAATGGCGACCGCTGTTAAGGAAGCTGCTTCCCAGTGAAACGCCATTGACACTCTGAGTGCACAGCTTGAGGCTGTTCGGATTAATGGTGTTTACACCAACAGCAA